CGCTTGTGGGAGAACAGGAACAGACTCAAGAATATCCTCAAGTTTCTGTTCTTTATAGCTTTCCTAGACTATTTAAATTCCTGCCAGAGCCTGGCATAGAGAAAGAAAAACAAATCTCAGAACTGAAACAGTCTTAGAAATTACTGAGACCAGATCACTCCAGGCAATGACTTTCCAGTGGCTCTTCAAGGTTCAAGGAAAAGTTTCAAGATTATTTCACTGGCACTAAACAGCAAGCTTTCAATGCTGCAACACATACAAACACCCTGCAATCCTGAAGAGTAAAATTACCTTCGCTTTCACTCTTCAACCACAATCTCCAGTCTCTCACATAAAATTTAAGATCTGATTCTTCTGCACTACTGCCTACAGTTAAGTTTTAGCAGATTGTAGCTGCAAGAATATGTACATGCAATTAGACTTCTGCCTGTGACTAAGCAGACAGATGGCATCTCAGTACTTTCCATCCTCAAGCCATATTATCCACAGTCCACCTCAGTGGTTGTAGTTCAATTGAACTGCCATCATTAGCAATCTCTTGAATAGTAACAAGCCTTGTACACCCAAGAACACAGGATTTCCTGAACCACATCAGAGCAGGCACTAGTCAAGAAAAAAAAGCAAATCCTAAAAAATAATAAAGCAAGGAAAAGCACGACGCAACATGGATCTACTATTATTTAGTTATGTGATAGCTTTCCCAGACAATTCTTTTCTAGCTCAAAATGTGTGGACTTCCTCATAATAGAATGGTTCATGACTTCTATTAAATCTTTCATACGGAAAGTCACTGACTGCCCATATAGAAAAGGCAGCACTTTAAGCCTGAAACAAGGTTGGGAGACCTCTGTGCACTTTCGTACTTTCTGTTATGTGTTAATTGAAGAGAAAGTATCAAATCTTTGAACAGTTACAGTATGCCTACACTGAGATCAGCAATAAATTATCTACCAAGTTCTACTACAAAACCAGTTCTTTCAGATGTATTCAATGCTACTGTTTTCCAGAAAAACAAAGGCACAGAGCAGGCACAGCCTTCTTCAGTACCTGTATTATTGAGAACCTAGAGTATCCTCTTAGGATGTTCTTGCATGTCAACACCATCACCCCTACTGAAGTTACACGCATATACTTGGGAAATGCTCTGTCAGTGCAGGACAGAGCAAGTCCTCAGGACACAGAATAAAGAACATCACTTTTTGACCCTGTCAGTAACATTAAGCAACACAAGGCTGAAGCCCATGCAGCTTGACTTAGGGAAGGAAGGACAGATGCACAAATCACATCATCAAGCACAATAACTTTGAGTGAACTGGGGAGTAAGCCGTATGAAATAGGTAGGCAAGGAAAAAGAAAAGAGAAGGCATGGCAAGGTGGAGGTAGAAGAAAAAAAAAATGAGGTGATCAAGAAGGCAGACAAACACAAACTGGTAGGAGAAAAAAGAATCTTACATAAAGCAAATGAAAAAACTTTGAGTTAGTTGAATATGCAACATGCAACAAGCCCAGAAGGAAAGACCACACCAGCTAAAATAAAATGACAAGAGGAACACTTGAATGGAAGAATGCAAATACGAAAAACAGGAAATTAAAGTAAATGGCAAAGTCCTGACCTCTAGCACATGCCTTTTCATATCTGGAAAGGGGACTCCTGACTTTGGCTCATTGTTAGTTGACTGAGAATATTTATGAAATAGATTAAATATATACAGGCAATTTTGCCTTTTGATTAACTGTACAGGTTGACATAACTGGCAACCACAACTAATGGCACACTGGCCTCAGTATCTCCTGTGCATGGATCCATGTACACGTGGTGCCATTGGAACAGCCTAACTTCACACTCCATTTTTTCTTCCAAAAAAATTAATATATTAATGCAAAAATAAAAATAAAGGAAAAAAAAAAAAGTCACACAACTAATTTCAGTAAGAACATGCAAATCACACTGCACACCACTGGCCTCTGTGATGCCCTTATATCAGCTGCTCAGGAAGCTGACAGAAAGGACCTCTATCAAACAAGTTAATACCGTCCAAGATTTAAATTGCACAGTTAAGACTAAATTAATGCAGTTACTTGAACCAGAGTTTATCTAGATGGGATGTGCAATACAAACCATTCTTAACTGCCTAGTAACTATCCTCAACAGAGCAGAAAGAAAATGGAAGCAGCTAGTTTCTACTTTTAGCACTTTTCTTCTGTGAGCTCTCTTCAGGAACTGCGATTATGGTATATCCATCATTCAAGTACTTGACTTGTGAGTTTTTAATCACACTATCTTTAATGGTCTGTAGGAGATATGGTGAAGCGAAGAAAGTTAGACTTCAAATACTTAGTCCCATTTTTTGTGACAGATTGTTAATCGTGGTATTTCAACACCTGAATGACCAGCTTCATTTCTTCATGTTATTTATCTTCAACAGACAAGCCAAAATACAGAAATACACATTAGTGCTTCAAGAAAATCTTAGTTGGACATACATAACAGATCTTACGAACCATTCATTTTTACATCATCCTACAGTTATGGCTCAGCTTGCCTTGAAGGAACTGAGGTTTCTCAATTTTAACATGCTCAGAGCTCTCAGGTTTGCACACAACCTAAACCATGTTTCAGGTTGACTTTCCAAATGGCTGAATTCAACTATTAGACTTCAAACTTTGAAAGCTTGAAAACTCAGACAGCAAACACTGTATCTGACACATCAAGATGGCTATCCCATTTCATTCAATAGACATGGCTTGCTTAGCAAAAATGCACGTGGCAAGTACAAGCGAGTAAAAAGAGTTTGTAAGCTAATGGAAAGGAAGAAGAACAAGACAAAGCATTTAATCACAGAAATAAGAAATAAGTAGTAACACATTTAAAGAAACAACATCCATAAGCAGTAAAGCATTCAACCTCTAATCGTAGCTTAAGAACTCTACTCCCATGAACACTACGGAGTATCTCCTTGCTGCATGTATATTTAGAGAGAAGGGATAACATTAACAGTGCAGAACACAGTAGGCAGATTTGACTGATTATGAGTATCATATGCAGACAAATTAATGCTATGCTTTGAAGGAAAAAAAAACAAGTGTATAAGTTAGTGTCAATGCATAGGAAAAGATCTCCTTCCTGTCCAAATAATGTTAAGTTTGAATGAAAATATTATTTAAAATGGTAGTTAAAAAAAGCAAGCTACCATGCTTGGAGCAGTATGTTTTGACATTGTAGGAATTAACTTAATTGAAATCCACTGGAAATTTATCCAAGAAAATGAAAAGAATCTGAAATGTGGAAAGCAAATTAAAAATCAGTAGTCTCCTTTTTTATTTTAGCAGCATCTGAGCTTGCTGTAGCACTAACATTTGTATCTGCCAAATGTGTTTTTGTGAGAAGCGAAGTATTATTTCAACACAAATATATTCATTGGAATTGGCTTTATTTTACTGTCCTATTACTAATACTTGCTGAATGATGATTTCTTCCCATCTACTGAGGAATACAGATGGCTTTAACTTCAAGCAATTCTCAGTGATCGGGGTTTAACAGGGAGGATGTAAATGCAAATTCACCTTTTTATGCAAAAGCTGAATCACAACACTCAAGTTATACCTGCAAGATTTTTAGCGTTCCAGTGGTACTGCAGCACACTTGCCAAGCCCATCATTCTTTTTAGAAATGGGAAATTAGCTAAAACAAGAGGTTTCTGAGAGCAAGCTACTCAAAGAATCAACCTTCTTTTTCTATGCCAATTTACAAAATAAATCATTTTCTTCACTCTGCAAAAAGGCACCCTGAACAGATTCTCTTAGCCAGTTAAACGCACAATGAGTTGTTATGCTAGAAAAAGTTCTAATGAACCTCTACAAAATTAATCACACATTGACAAGTAAAAAAGAAAGCAGCCGGTAAGGTTACTTAGGAACATATATGCTACTGCCCACTACTTCAGCAAGGATAGAAGGCCTACACTACTTGTGCTTCTCTTATTTCTCTACAAAAACAAACAAAAAGCCACTAACCAAACAAACAAGAGCATTTGTACCCCTTCAGGGATCAACAGCACAAATGATGATAATGAACATGTTTCTGCCAGCTATGTTTTTCTTACAAGATCATCTTGTCACATAAGAACGCGATGACATCAGATCACATTCTCGTAACTCAAAAGATAGCATCTTTAAATATGACTAGTATCCTTATAAGTACATTTACTTTTGCATGTGATGTTAAACTTCACTTTAAGACAGACTCACTAAGCAGGTTCATACCACCAATCAGCTTTTGCATGTTCCCAGACGCACTGGGAAACAGACAATAATTACAGCATTACAGAAAGGACCTGAGATCAAACCTTGGACAAAACAGTCCTAAAAATACATCACGTGAATTGTATTACAACTGGACATGTCTGAGCCATCTCACTTTCTGTTCAACAACAATCATACATCATGTACATGTACAGCAGCATAAACATGCGCCACCTAATACAATTTCAAAGGAACACAAAACAGAGGAGTACTAGCAATAAAGTAATGCTGCATTATGTAATCTTAAAGAAAATAGCAATTCATGCATACACAAAAATACAACTGTAATCAACAACTTCTACTTCTTGTTTTACACCTTTGCTATTAAGATCTCTGGCACTCCTCAGTGCTTCTAAAAAGAGTTTTTGCACACTGCCCAACAGCCAAAAATCCAGAAAGGTAGCTACCACAAACCGTATGCTCATGTAGAGAATGTTCACAGGTTTTAAGATTGAAACCATCACAACACACACAAAACACAAATCATTAGTTTCTTCATTCTAAAATTTAAGCATTTGGAAGGCTAAGATTGCTAAGTTGTCTCTTTCTGAAAAGCAAATAATTGCCTTCTGAAAAACAGAAGGCGACAGGTATCTGACACTACCAAAGTCATCCTAAAAAAGAATATTAACCCGATTCCAGCTTTCAATCAAACACATGGAACGATTAACTCAGAATTACTGATGATGACTCCTTACCTTCAATCCTTTTCAAGGCTGACAGGCAAGTATCCCGACTTGGAAACTCAAATGGATTATTACAGGTCCGAATAGTGTCACATTCACATTTCCCGTTGATTATGTTACAACCTGTTATAAGGTTTTCATTGCATGGCTCAAATCCAAGGAGCTGGTCATCATCCCAGTTTTCATCTAAAATAAACAAGCAGAAAAACTTGCTATTGATTTCAGTTACAGTATATAAATTCAGCTGCTTTGGGGTCAGGTGCAATTCATTTCAAATTTAACATTGAGCTAAACAAGATAAGACTCCAAAAGAATGGATTAATCTAAACGATAAGATTTGCCAAATACTGTGCTTCACAGCTGTTCTACTGCCCATTTTGCCCCAGTTACTGGCATTGTTTACTTCAATCAGCATGAAGAACTGTCACGTTTCGAGGAAAAGCATAGCTGTAGTACAAATGAGTAAACAAAATAACTTCTACAGATACTTGAAGCTGTATTTATCATGGAAGTGAGAATGTTGGAGAGAACCTGCAGCTGTTAGAGAATTCAACAGTAAGTTAGAAAGAGAGCATAATTAAACAAGTTTTAAAAATACATCACATAGAATTCACTCCACAGAGATGACTTTTTACTTCAAAAATACTGCAAGATGTCAGGCCTTTGATTTTGTAATATGACCAAAAGTGAGTTTCCCAACACCCCTGAACAACCATTATCATTCCAGGAGAATTGTTCAAGCACATTCTGCTCCTTGCTGTCAAGTGAAAGGGGAATGTACCAGGGCTAGAATGCATCTCTTTGATCTTTCTAATGAGTCTGATGTATCTGTTAATTCTCATGTTTCTATTGTACAGTTGTCCATTACTTCTCCGGTTACATGCAGTGAGACTATTTTCCCTTCTCCAAAATGGAGTTTTTTCTCTCCACAACTCTGCTGTGACTGCAGGTTCCACAAAATCTCAGTTCCTTAGATCAACAGTACATACAGCAACATTCAACAGACTAAAAAAACTTAAGCAAGACATATACTTCTAGGCATGAGGTATTTTTAGCTGTTGCACGCTAGATCATTTTCCAACCTGCCCAGTGTACCAAATCAAGTACTATAAAATAGTTATAAAAATGCTCTGCTGACTTCTAGATGCATCCCATAGTCCTGAGGGAATTAGCTAATGTAGCCACCAAGCCACAAATATCAATGATATTTGAAAAGTCATGCCAATCAGATGAAGTCCCCGGTGACTGGAAAAAAGGTAACATCACACCCATTTTAAAAAAGGATGATTTCGGGAAATACCAGCCTATCAGTCTCACCTCTGTGCCTGGGAAGATCAAGGAGCAAGTCCTCCTAAAAGCTATTTTAAGGCACATGGAAGGCAGGGAGCTGATACAGGAGAACCAGCATGGCTTCACCAAAGACAAATCCTGCTTGACCAACCATGCGGCCTTCTACGATGGTGTCACTGCATCAATGGAAAAGGAAAGAGCCCCTAATGTCATTTATCTCAACTTCAGTAAGGCCTTTTAGTACAGTATCCCACAACATCCTTCTCCCCAAATTGGAAAGACATAGATTTGATGGAAAGACTGTTTGATGGACAAAGAACTGGCTGCAGGACAAAGTCCAGAGAGTAGTGGTTAATGACTCAATGTCTGGATGGAGATTGGTGATGAATGGTGACCACCAGGTATCAATGCTGGAACTGATACTGCTTCATATCTTCATCAATGGCACACTCAGCAGGTTTGCTAATGACATCAAATTGTGGGGTGCAGTCAACACACCAGAGGGACAAGATGCCATCCAGAGGCACCTAGGCAGGCTTGAGCAGTGATCCCAGGTGAACCTCAAGGGATTCAACAAGTCCAAATCCAAGGTCTTGCATGTGGGTGGATGCAACCCTCACTACCAATAGAAACTGGGGGATGAGAGGATTGAGCGCAGCCCTACCAAAAAAGACCTGTGAGTACTGGTGGATGGGAAGCTGGACATGAGCCAGCAACATGCCCTTACAGCTCATAAAACCAACTGCATTCTGGGCTGCATCAAAAGAAGTTTGTCCAGCAGATTGTGGGAAGGGATCCTCCTACTCTACCATGCACTGGTGAGGCCTCACCTGGAGTACTGCATCCAGATATGGAGTCCTCAGTACAGGAGAGACACAGACCTGTTGGAGCACGTCCAGAGGAGGGCCACAAAAATAATCCACAGAATGGAACAACTTCTCCTACAGGACAGGCTGAGAGACCTGGGGCTGTTCAGCCTAAGAGAAGAGAAGGCCCCAGTGTGACCTCAGAGCAGCCTTTCAGTATCTAAAGGGGAACTACAGAAAAGAAGGGGACACTGTGTAGCAGGGTCTGTGGTGACAGAACAAGGGGAAATGGTTTCAAGCTCAAAGAGGGTACATTTAGGTTGGATATAAGGAAAAATAGTCTTTTACAGTGAAGGTGCTGGAAGAGGCTGCCCAGAGACATGGTTGATGTCCCCTCCCTGGAGACTTTCAAGGGGAGGCTGGATCAGGCCCTGGGCCCCTGTTCATTGCAGGGGAGTTGGACTAGATGGCCTTCAGAGGTCTCTTCCAACTCAAAGGATTCTACGATTCTAAAACATCAATCTACAATCTACAGCAGCTTTCACCTTGCAGTTTCTAGTAGTTCACCTCAGATTTATATACTATCAACAAACAAGTTTTCAACAGGGATCCTGCTAAGAAACACTTTAAAAAAGCCAAAACATCTTCCAGCTACACAGCATTGCTGTTGCTCAGGTTTGTTTAAAAATAAGACAGGGATTGAAGTATACAGTTTCAAATATTCCCTGCTTGCAAGATTTAGAACTTTTCATGCTAAAACAGAGTTATTTTGGAGAAGTAAATGACAAAATAATCTATCTATACTGGCAAGAAAATCCCTGCAGAGCACTCCTCTATTTTAATGAAAGAAGGGGCAAACACAGCATTGTCTAAGTGAACAAGCTGCATGGCAACACATGCAATGACACAGATGGTTGTGCTGCCATGTTTCTGTTCAGAACACATCACTCCAGATTCTGACCCTAGGAGCATGTGGAAAGCAGAGACCCAGACATGTTTGGGTACCACAGTCAAACAAGCAGGCATGCTGAACAGGCTGGGCACTCAGCTGACTCCAGAGTGTAGCAGCTGCTTTTGGACCAGATGCTGAGCACTAGCCATGCCATCAGGCAAAACTGCTGACCCAGGCACTGTTGACAGAGAGGGAAGCATTAGTTCTTATCTACACTTATGCATTGTTCAGAAGGAACATATGTCCTCAGCTGACTCATGCCCCCTCCCTACGCAGTTCCACTGACAAGAAGAAATGAAGACTTGCAGGGTTAATAGATTCCTGTTAAGCAATTCTTAGTCCCAGATATCCTGTAAGCTACACCTTAGAGTGAGCATCAAAAGCTGCCCTTTACCACAGCAGACTGCAGCCAAACATGAACTGTTTTATCATTCAGCAGTCTGACACTGAACCAAAGCTTAAAAACTGATAGCAAATACATACGCTGAAGCGGATGTGTAAATTCTGCTCAGAGAGATTTGCAGAATATCAGTCAACTTTCTGTTTGGGGAAGAACAAATAAAAAGCAACAACAAAAAAAATCCCACACCTCCACTAAACCAATACCTGGAAACCACAAAGAGTTAAAAAAACAAAAACACCACCAAACAGTTAAAGCTAAGTACAGTAGGTGATCTAGAGAGAGCATCACAGCTGATTCTCACCAGCATGTTTCTCCCTCTATATCCAGCTGCTTATTATTTGTTAAGTCAGCAGAACACCTTTCTGACAGAGAACACTAAATAAATAACCAAGTCAATTTTAGAAATGAAGGAGAGAGCATCCATGGGAATCTCATGGCTGTTTTACTCCATAAAAATAGCCACGGAAGAGTAGTCATTAACTCCAGGAAGTAATTTATTAAGTTGACCAATCATCCCACAGAGCAAGCGTATCAATAAAAGTCAAAGGAAGCACAGAAGTTCACAAAGAGAAACTACTGAAATTCTTTCAAAGGAAGGTGCAGATTCAGTAGTTTCTGGGATGCTTGCATGATTATGAGGCCAGGGAAAAAAAAAACACAGGGAATTTTGAGAACAATAATATATCCTGTTTTTGATAAGCCGGAATACAGCTTGGACAATTTGTATGTTACAAATCACAGCAGTAATCCACGTAACAAGAACAAAAGAGGCAATAGCTGTACTTTAAAATTCAGCGTGCCAAATTCTGTACCAGACCACAACATCATCCAGATCAGACTGTTTAACGGTCTTAACAAAAAGAATTTCTCTAATTGTTTGCTGAACCATTCCCTCTTTCTGACACACAGGATCTCATCCTCTGCCCATTTGTAGATCAGGAGCCCAGACTCCCACCAAGGTACAGCCAGCTGTACTCATGACTGCTGGGCCTCTAATGCTCAGCTCCCTGAGCTACTCTCTCCCACCAGACTGTGGAAATCAGTCCAGTGCAGATAGATGGGGCACAATGTTATTATGTGTTTTTATGTATTTTATTATAAAGTTAATGCTGTTACTACAATAACAGCACACTTCTTGCTTTTCAAACAATCCAGTTCGTGGCATTTGTGAATTTTTGCGCTATAGCATTTCAGCAATCAATTTTTCAGATAAGAACAGAAGCTGCAAGCAGTCCCTATTATGCAACAGCTGCTTGCCCCTGGTGAGAAGGGACTCACCTATGAAAGGAGTGGAAAGCAGAGCAGTCCCCTACTCACAAATGACCTTTTTGATGCAGATGCATCAGAAACCCTCAAACTATCCACAGTATTATCTGATTTCCATTACAGACGTTTGATATCTGCCAACTCTCATGGATTTTCAGGAGGAAGCAGAAAAGCATACACACAAAGTGCCTGGCCCAGTCCTAGCTGTACTTAAGTCATCAATACCACACCCCTCAAAAATGAGCTCAATAGTCTTTAAAAGCATAGAAGAGAAATGCCCAAGAAATACTTGCAGACAACACCTGACGTAATTACTCATGAACCAAGGTATTTTTCATTACTGCAAGCGAATACTAAGAAGTCAGATCCATATAGGAAAAACATAAACCCAGTGTTAGCTTAAGCATCTCCTAGCAGACTGCTTTTCACACATTTCAGTTGAGAAATGTGGCTTCCATCAATGCAGTAG